GGAAAGAGTTCAAGTTTACTGAATCTAGAAAAATTAAAACAGAAATCATGGAATTTGGGAAGAAGTGAATTGAACTGAAGTTGATTTAGTTTTGGTTCAAAACCTAGTTAGTTTAGCAATCCCAGAATACACTGTGAAAAACAAAACAATAATTAAAAATGGAGGACGAAGTTTTTTTTACATATTGAGTCGGTCTCTAAATTATATACTGAGAAATATTAATAAATATATTTAATCAAATACCAATTTATCAGTGTTTCTCATTTCGTCTTTTAATTTGTTTTTGCGTCTTGCTGAAAATTATATATATTTTAATTTAATTTAATTTAATTTTGTCTCCAAATTACATGGTGAGAAATATTGATAAATATAATCAAATACCAATTTGTCAATATTTCTCACCTGGTCCTTCACCATCATCATTTTTTTTAAGTCTGTCTCCAAATTATATAGTTATAAATATAATTAATTAGGTAACACTTTGCGATAAGTTTCCATTTGTTAACATTAGTTAACATGAACTAACAATGAAAAATACTTCTAAAGCATTTAGTAATCTTAGTTAATGTTAATTTCAACATTTACTAAATAAATGATTAAAATCAAAAGCTGTTTATATTTTTTAATGGACAGTTAACAGTGTTAACAGAGATGAATAAATACTGTAACACATGTACTGCTCATTGCTAGTTAATGTTAGTTAGTGCGTTGACTATCATCAATAGAACCTTATTATAAATTGTTACTATTAATTAAATGACAGGTAATATAGTTTATTAATCCAGTTATTAATTATAATTAATCCAATTAATCAGATACCACAATATAAAACTGCTTAAGCTAACTGTTTCAGTCTTTATTAGTCAGTGATTTTTTTTATTGTCCGCATCGAAGATAACTAGTTTAACCAGCTTTAACTAGTTCAGAAATGTGGGTCACATGAGTTCTCCTGAGAGACCGAAGCTCCGCCCCCCGAGCCGTTCTCTGTTGTGTGAGAGGAGGCCGGGCTCTTCTCTTCGCTCCCTACTGAGGGCCCTTTAAAGTGTGATTAAATGTCTTTGAGATGGGAATCGGAGGATTTTAAGTAGGTCAGGTTATAAAAACAGAACGACAGAATTTAATACTTGTATGATGTGCAAAATATGAAGGTTTTATATCAGATTTTCTGAATCTCAGCTGCTTATGGTTGCAAAATGTGAACTATATTATTTGATAAATGCAGCTATAAGGCTGGAAGATGTTAATATAATAATATAAATATACATAATCATGATTCTCTGGAGATCTGTGTACTGTAAAAACCTCTGTACAAATGAAATTTGTAGGTGTAAATATTTAAGGTTTAAATCATTTCAAAAACATTTTCGTTACTTGGAATAAAAGAATTGTTAACTTCATTTAACATTTTATTTCAGCTAGTTTCCAAGACAACAATTGTCTTTTTTTTTTTTTTTTTTTTTTTTTATGTACTGATCTGTGTACTGTAAAAACCTCTGTACAAATGAAATTTGTAGGTGTAAATATTTAAGGTTTAAATCATTTCAAAAACATTTTCGTTACTTGGAATAAAAGAATTGTTAACTTCATTTAACATTTTATTTCAGCTAGTTTCCAAGACAACAATTGTCTTTTTTTTTTTTTTTTTTTTACTTGATGTACTAAAATAACTAAAACTGAAATAAAAATAATAAAAACAACAAAAACTAATAAAAATGGAAAACAAAAACAAGTAAATTACTAAAACTTTAACTAAAATTAGCTTGAAAGCAGAAAAAATAAGATCTATTAATCTATTAAAAATATTAAAATCTATTAAGTCTATTCAAAATAAAATCTAAAAATAGAATATTAACATACATTGTTTTTAAATTATACTAAAATAACACTGGTTGAAATTGTAATCAATGATTAAATTGTTACAGTTTTTTCAAATTCAGTTGATTATTAAAGTTGAAATGTTTAAATGTATTAAAGTTTTGAATCATTTCAAAAACATTTTCGCTACTTCAAATAAAAGAATTGTTAGCTTCAGTTGAAATATAAAATCTTATTTTATTTCAGCTAGTTTCCAAGACAACAATTGTGTGTTTTTTTTTTAGTTTAACTTGATGTACTAAAATAACTAAAACTGAAATAAAAATAATAAAAACATATTTAAAAACGAATAAAATGGAAAACAACTAAATTACTGAAACTTTAAGTAAAATTAAACCAATAACTAATTTAACTCAAATTTGCTTGAAAGCAGAAAAAAAATGAATATTGCTTGAAAGCAGAAAAAAATAAGATCTGATTTAGAATATTAACATTAAGTGATACTAAAATAACAGTGGTTGAAATTGTAATATTGATTATTAAAGTTTAATCAAAGCATTAAAGCAGTATTATTAATGCTGAATGCTAGATTTTTTCAATATTTGTAATGTACGAATGCAATCGAATCTATTAACAGATGAATTCAAATGAATTCCTTACTGAGTTAAACTTGATCAGATCTCAGTTTTGTCCCAGTTCTTCAGGATCAGTTTAGCTGGCTTTCGTTTGTGGTGTTGCTTGATTGGTTTATTTTGCTCTCTGACTGAAGCTGACGGAGCTGAACACGTTCTTCCTGAAGCACATCTTCGTGTTCCCAGCATGCCACGCTCTCAGCTGGTGCCGGATCCTGTTCATCGGGATCATCACGGCTCCTACTGTACGGTACGTGAAGAACACACAGTCTGATGCATTTTAGAGGAAAACCAGCAAATTATTATTATTATCAATATTTAAAACAGTTGAGTATAATTTTTTCAGGATTCTTTGATGTATGGAAAGATCCAAAGATCAGCATTTATCTGAAATAGAAATCTTTTGAAACATTATAAACATCTTTATCATCACGTTTGATCAATTTAAAGCATCCTTGCTAAATAAAAGTAAAGTCTGATGCATTTTAGAGGAAAACCAGCAAAGATGTCAGATGGGACTTGATTTTTATTCACTGGAAATTGATAAAAATGGCAAAAAGAAAAGGGTTTGTGAGCTGATGAAAAGCTAATAATTAAATACATTTTAAAAATGTAAAATTAAAATTGATTAAAAATGTAAATAAAAAAATTATATAAATACAATAAAATAAAAATGTAATGCCATGAAACCTGATTCATTAAATTAAAAAAATTGTACAATTAAAATTTATTAAAAAGTAACATATAAATTGATAAAAATTTAAATGATATTAATATAAAAACAAGTGAATAAACATGATGCCCGCACACCAGAATTAATTAAATCATAATGTAAAATTAAAATGGATTAAAAATGTAACACAAAAATGTTTAAAATTAAAATAAATAATATTAATGTAAAAACAGTCCAATAAAAATGTAACCTGAATAATTTTAATATGAAAACGATCAAATAAAAATGTAATGCCCACACACCTGAATCATTAATTGAATCATAAAAACGTGAACATTTTTGTTTTGTTTTTGTTTTTGTGGTGATGTAAGCTTGAGCAGTGTGCAGGATTTATATGTATTTATATGCATTTTTAAAATTAAAAGTCAAAATAAAACACTTACTAAAACATATTATTTGTTTACTTGCATGTCATGTGACCATTAAATAATATCAGAGAAATGTAAACATGTGTTGTTAAATTATTGAAATGTTGACTCAATCTCTGGGGGTCTTAAACATTGATCTAGAACATTATTTTTTGAAATGTGGAATAACATGCCCTGTTGAACTGTGTATGATTAATGATCTGCTCTACAGGCAGTATTACGCGTACCTGACGGACACACAGTGCAAACGGGTCGGGACTCAGTGCTGGGTGTTCGGGTGAGTCACAGTGAAGGCTCTGGTGTAATCTGGAGCGGGTCGTCAGTCATGCATGTGCTTGAGGTCATGCATGTGCTGCTGCAGGTCAAACGCTGAACCACAAACCCGCATGAAAGCTGGTGTTCCACTGCAGCGCGCCGGTGGGCTTCACTGCTTTATTGTCATTTGCTTTATCTCAGATATGACCTAGATGTAGCGCAGATTGAGTTATCTTGTGCCAGACATCTAGGTTAAATCATCTAGACTTTATCTAACATCCTCTGGCTTTATGTTGCACAATTAACATCCAGTAGAAAGCAAAGCTGCACGATGTGTAGAAGTAGAAATCGACATTGCTTAGTGCGATAGTCAAATCAAGCAGTCTGTGATTTAATTACTTAAATAAATATATGCACTACCGTTTTCACTCGGATGAAGAAAATCATGATGATTATTTTATATATATATATATATATATATATATATATATATATATATAAATCATTCTAATATGCTGATTTGCTGCTCAAAAAACATTTATTATTATTATTATTATTATCAATATTTAAAACAGTTGAGTATAATTTTTTCAGGATTCTTTGATGTATGGAAAGATCCAAAGATCAGCATTTATCTGAAATAGAAATCTTTTGAAACATTATAAACATCTTTATCATCACGTTTGATCAATTTAAAGCATCCTTGCTAAATAAAAGTAATAATTTCTATAAATTATTTCCAAAAAAAAAAATGATACTGACTCCAAGCTTTTGAATGGTAGAGTGTATGATGTTACAAAAGCTTTTTGTCATCTAACTTCCTTTGGCTTTATGTTGCACAATTAATGTTCAGTAGAAAGGGTCGTGCAATATATTGAAATTAAATTGATATTGCACAGTGTGATTTAATTTAATACATTTATGCACTACTGGTTTCACTCTGAAACCTGTCAAAATAAAAGCTTGATGGTTTAGAGTTTAAAAATGAAGAAATCTAATTTTTTTAACAGTAAAATAAATTTATTTTTATTGCTCTTTTTATTTTACAATATTTCTACAATATATTTAGTTTTTGCTTAATATTTTTGTTTCATAATAATCACAATAAAATCATGATGTTTATTATTATTTTATAGTATTTTATTATTTTATAATCATGTGAAGCCCTGAAAGATTTCACCTTAAAAAAAAATTAAAAAAAATAAAAATCAGATTAGAAAGTAATTTCTCAGCCTTTTTAAAATTATTATTTTTTTAATGCAGATGCACTCTGCGACAAATTCACACCACTAACTCTGGAACGATTTATTCTAAAGCTATTCCAGTCATCTGGTGAAATTTCAATGCAATATATGTCGCAGAAAACAAAATATGGCACTGTCAGTGTTTTCCAAAATGATGCCAAACTCTGTTTTCTGTCCTGCAGGGCGATCGCTTTCCTGGAGGCGCTGGCCTGCATTAAATTTGGACAGGACTTGTTTTCCAAGACGCAGGTTCTCTATGTGATTTTGTGGCTCGTGTGTTTGGTGAGTTCCTGTGGTTTTTCTTCACTTACAGATAGAGCTGTGCAATTCATCGAAATACAGTTTCGATTTTGATTTCGGCCTCCAGCGATTATGAAAATACAATAATCGGGATAAAACGATTATTGCACGCCTTTCCAGCGGTACGCTTTCGCTCCTCCATAAAAGCCCAATTTCACGTGTAAATCAGTAAAATCATTTTGCGTGACTTTCACAAAATGGGACGTGCTTGATTTATTAAAGCTGATTAGATTTATTCATGTTTTTAAAAGCACGAAAGAGAACTATCGCTGTTGCTCAGGAGGATTTCTGTGCGTGCGACGGAACAGAACACGGACATGTAAAGTCAACTTTTAGCTTAAGGTGCGCGCCTAAATGGTCAAATACACGCAAAAATGTGTCAAATGTGGCACTTGGTGATTATTAATCACATAAACCCTCATCGGTTATGTAATAAGTGAACGTAAACAGTTGAGAATGAAAATACGTGCTTAACAGTAAATTGGATCCATGTAGCTCTTAAAGTGACAGCAGCCTAATATTCCTGCTGCTGACTGTG